GTTTGGGGTCTTAAAAGCCTGTGAATAGCCATCTAAGATACTCCACTGGTCTCACCCCTTCGGGAGCAAGGGAGAATGAAGAAAACAAGATACAGATGCATCAACTGGCCCCAACCACCTGGAGTAAAGGAGAATGAAGAACACCAAAGACACAGGGAAAGTATTAGCTCAAGAGACGGAAAGGGCCACGTAAACCAGAGACTTCATCAACCTAAGACCAGAAGAACTGATGGTGCCTGGCTACCACCAATGACCGCCCTGACAGGGAACACAACAGAGAGTCCCAGATGGAGCAGGAGAAAGGTAGGGTGCAGAACTCAAATTCTAATAAAAAGACCAGACTTAATGGTCTGACTGAGACTGGAGGAACCCCAGAAAGCATGGCCCCCGGACTCTGTCAACCGAGAACTAAAACAATTCCCGAGGCCAACTCTTCAGACAATGATTGGACTGGACTGTGGGACATAAAATGATTCTTATGAAGAGTGTGCTTCTTAGCTCAAGTGGATACATGAGAATAAATGGGCAGCTTCTGTCTGGAGGTGAGACGGGAAGGCAGAGAGGGTTAGGAGCTGGTTGAATGGACATGGGAAATCGGGTGGAAAGGAGGAGTGTGCTGTCACAGTATAGGGAGAGCAATTAAGGTCACATAACAATGTATGTATAAATTTTTATATGAGAGACTAACTTGAAATGTAAACTTTCACTTAAACTACAACAGTTAAAAAAAGAAAGAAAGAAGACAGTATACAAGGGAAAGATTAGTCCAAAGGACTAATGGACCACAACTACCACAGCCTCCACCAGACTGAGTCCAGTACAAGTAGATGGTGCCCGGCTACCACCACTGACTGCTGTGATAGGGATCACAACAGAGGGTCCCAGACAGAGCCGGAGAAAATGTAGAACAAAATTCTAACTCACAAAAAAAAGACCAGACTTACTGGCCTGACAGAGACTGGAGGACCCCAAGAGTATGGCCCCAGGATACCCTTTTAGCTCAGTAATGAAGTCACTCCCGAGGTTCACCCTTCAGCCAATGATTAGACAGGCCCGTAAAACAAAATGAGACTAAAGGGGTGCAGCAGCCCAGGGACAAGGACTAGAAGGCAGGAGGTGACAGGAAAGCTGGTAATAGGAAACCCAAGGTTGAGAAGGGAGAGTGTTGACATGTTGTGGGGTTGTTAACCAGTGTCGTAAAACAGTATGTTTACTGTTTAATGAGAAACTATTCTGTAAACCTTCATCTAAAGTATAATTTACAAAAAAAAACAAATTGTTTATCCTTTAAGTTTATATATAGTTTTTTTTTAAAGAATGTTTCTCTGTTTAGTATACCATGTGTATCTTTCCACGTCATATTCTTCTACAGAACATTGACTGCACCATACTTTTTATTTAACCTCCATTCTTTAGCATTTAATTTATTACCCCTCTCTAACCTGTCATTTTTTTCAACTATTTTAAACAAAAGTTTAAACAGTGGCCAATCTTATGGTGAGATCTTTGAGCACATCTGTAATTAATTATTTTATTCAGATAGGTATCTAGAAGTACAATTTCTAGTTCAAAGAACATGAACTTTCTCATACTTTTAATACATATTTCAAAAAAGTGATTCCAGTTAATTCTACCACCAGCAGTATATGGGAGTGCCTATTTTCCCATGCCCTCTGCAATGTTTTGTGTTATGTTTTTGCTTGCTTGTTTTTTTATTTTGGCTTGGTTATTTATATTTTGTGAATTATGTGTTTGTATACTTTGCCAACTGTTTTATAGCAGACATTCATCTCTTATAAGAGTTCTTTATATAGTGAGGATATTAACTTTTAGTCATATGTTACAAATATTTTCTGTGGTTATTGTGCTTATGTTTTGCCATACATAATTTTTACATTGTTTATGTAGTCAAATTTGTGAATCTCTTCATTTAAGATTTCTGTCCATTGAGATATGCTTAGAAAGTCCTTCCCTAAGACAATATTGCATAAATGTTTGCCTATACTTTTTAGTACTTTTAAAGGCTTTTTTTTTTTTTTTCCATTATAATTTTTAATCCACCTGGAATTTTATTATGGCTAAGGTATGAAGTAAGAATCTAGTTTTTGCTCTTCATTGTAAGCTAGTTTTTCCAGTACCATTTACTGCATGGTTTATTCTTTCCCTTTTGATTGGAGAACCCATCATAATTAATAAATACATATATTCAGATCTGTTTCTGAACTTTCCATTGTGTTTCATTGGACTAGTTGTCTGTGTCTTTGCAATATCACACATTTTTAACTATCAAATTTTAACTATATATTATTTTGCCCTACTACCTCTAAAATTCTAGAAATGTTTTGATATACGGAGTTGACGAATATATCAACAGTTAAAAATGTATTTTATTGATATTTATAATTAAGAACGTTTAAAAAATAGTTCTGTATAAGTTGCATATACCTCAATTTATTAGGAATTTTGAGATGATATATTTAACAAACTACTGATACTTCTAAAAGTTTCAAGATAATGCATTAATATGCTGCTCAGGTTTTTTCTGCCTCAAGGCTATTCTGGTGATATTGCTAATGTTGTCTTTAATTTCTCACATGAACTTTCCTATGCTTTTAATACATATTTTAAATTTTGTTACCCAGAAAGTTGATGCGAGTTAATCCTATGGATGCAGTATATGGGAGTGCCTATTTCTCCATATCCTCCCCAGTATTTTGTGTTATCTTTTTGCTTGCCTGTTTGACTCTAAATCCTAAAGTGCATATGTCTCCCTCCAATTGATAACCAGTTTCTTTAAAGTATTTTTGTCAAGCTTTTTAATAAAAAACGTGTGGTATTTTACTTTATATCCTCCAGCTTCTATTAGTTCGTTGGGAGATGAGAGTGCATCATTTGTTTTTGTTCTTCTGTTGAAATCACTGCTCGTGTTCAAACCAGTTTCTAGGCCTACCAGCATTCTCCATCTTTCCTACAACCTTTTTCAGATTGAAATAACGTATTGTTTCCTCCTCCACTCTAAAGCTCCAGAGCTATCTTGAACATAGAATAAATTTTCTCTGTAAGGTATTGTTATTTAGACACGATTTTCTGAGTAGAAGAATTAGACTTCCAAAGTGAAGGATCCTAGGTGTCCTGAACTTGCCAAATATTAATCAGTGTTTCTGGGTAGTCTGTGAGCCACTCACTCTTGGAAGTTTCTTAAAATAAGTATAAAGAAGATGTAAATACTGATATTAAGGGCATTTACTGTGCACACACTTTAAGTTGTAGTTTGTTTACTAAAGAAGTAGAATTTTGTCGAATTTCTTAAATAATTTTTTGCTTCTGAATATTAACATGTCCATCTATTTTATAGCTCTTTTTATTCACAGAAATCAAATTGTTTTTTCAAACTTTATATCCATAGTGCAGGTTGTGGAAGAACAGGTGCCATTTGTGCCATAGATTATACATGGAATTTACTAAAAGCTGGGGTAAGAATAATTTTTATGTAGCTTTATATCTAGTTGATTTATTATGATTTTCAAACTTAATGATTAATTGCAGCACATTACAGCATATGTTTTGTTATACATGTTAATTTTTTAGAAGTAGCTTTGCTATGTAAGAAATTAAGGTAGTGAGAAAGTATAAATGGTGCATATTACCTTGAGATAATTCATTGGGCAGCAGGGTAAGGGTGTCACATATTTTTTCTAGGTAAGTGAATACCTGTATTAGGGGTGCAGGCCTTGTGTGGATTTTTCCAAATACAGAATTCTCACTGCCTTTCATATTTGTTCTAGATACAACTATATTCAATTCAGCAAATATTTATGCCTACTGGAGGCGTTTTAGTGTAGTGATTAAGAGTGGCATTCTGGGTCCTAACTGTCCAGATTAAAATTCTGGCTCTGTCATTTAATAACTGTGCGACCTTGGTCAAGTTGCTTAATCTCATTAGGTCTCAATTTCTTCATCTGAAAATGGGCTCATAATAGTAATAACTCCTGGATAGTCATAAGAATTAAGTAAGTTACCCTATGTAAAGTTTCTTTAGAACTATGTGTGGCATGTAGGAAGTCTTCAAGGTTAGTTATTATTACCTTTGCTGTTATTGTTGTTACTACCACTATTATTTCCAAGATACTGCATTTGAAACTATGGAGGATACAAAGATAAATAAGACACAGCTCTCATTATACATTTGAAAAACCTAAGTCATCTCACGGAGATGATGTGGTTCATTTGCTGGTTTCAAAATCGGTTGATTTTCTATGCATTAGGGTGGAGCTTTTAATCCTTCATAGTTTTATAGTGTCGGAGCCCTGGAGGTGCAGTGGTTAAGAGCGCTCAGCTGCTAGCAAAAAGGTCGGCAGTTCGAATCCACCAGCTGCTCCTTGGAAACCCTATGGGGCAGTTCTCCTCTGTCCTATAGGGTCTCTATGAGGCAGTTTATAGTTTCTGTGAATATGTTAATCTGTGTCTTGTACAAAATAGGATTAATAAATGTGTAGTTTCTTCTTTTTCCTGTACCTCCTTTCCTCCCTCCCTCCTTTCTCTTTTTTCCCCTACCTTCTTTCCTTTTTTCATTCTTTGTTAGGGAATGTTTAAACTTCAGCAGTTTCTTAAAAAACCTTCTGGGGCTAATTTTAAGTTTGTGTTCTTTAAAAGCTGTAATCATCTCCTAATACTCAAATGAAAAATTTTAAGTGAATAAAATTTAACTAGGATTCTATCACATTTTAATATGAAAGTCGAAGATTATAAAAATGGATGAAAAGTGGGTTTTTGATGAATGCCAACAAATGAAATATAAACATCTGGTCATTTAAAAAATTGTGTATTTTAAACATAGCCCGATTTTGTTTGAGTTTGGCATAATGTAAGTATAATCTTCGGCCTTAGGTTAAGACTTAATATAAAAATCTTTTGATATCTATAAAGTCTTCTGAGCAGTACACCTGGGAATCATTCTTGACTTTTCTATCTTCTTGGTCACTCTAAAATTTATTTCTTGTTGAACACCAAGTTCTAATAGTTCTGCCTCAGAAATGTCCCTCAAATCTGTTCCTGTCCTTTCTTTAGATTCCTGCAGTAAACCTCTACCAGTTTCTTCCCCTTTCAGATTGCCATCTCCTGTTGCAAAAGTTGCCTAAATAACAAATCTGCCCATGTCAAGAGTTGCCTGTTGCAGTAGTTCCAATCCCAAATGTACAAAAGAATTGTTTAGCATATTTCCCAATTAGTCTCCAGGGATGGAGCTGAGCAATCTGTATTTTTACCCAACTCTCTTAGCTGATCCTTATGCAGCCAGTCCAGGAGACACATACATTTATAGTCTGATTCCCAAGTAACTGTATCTTCTTCCCTCCTTTGAGTATCCTCTGCTCCTTTCAATCTTAGACTTCATCCACATCAGACTTCTCAATTCCCCAAACAGGTCGTCAGTTTCATCTGCCATGCCTGTGTATATTCCCTTCAGTTTTCATGGAATGACCTTCTTGTAATAGCCAACTAATTGTCACTCCACACACCCATTAGAGTCATATTTTTTTAATTCCCACTGTACTGATCTCATTCCTTGACTAGATGTATTTTGTTCACGTATTTGGCTCCTCAGCTTGACTGCTTAGGGTCAATATTAGCTTTGCATGATAGTGTCAAGCATAGTGTCTCTGAAACATAGTATGTAGGTGCTCAATAAATGTTTGTAGTTATCTAGCATGTATGTAAGGTCTATATGAAAAGCTGAAGATTATTTTACTATTATCCGAACACTTGACCAAATTTTATGTATTAAATTATTTCCTTTAGAAAATACCAGAGGAGTTTAATGTATTTAATTTAATACAAGAAATGAGAACACAAAGGCATTCTGCAGTACAAACAAAGGTATAGTTGTTTCAGTTTATATAAAATATATTTTTATAAATGTTGTCTTGTTTTTTTAATGTCTTTTGTTTATCATTTCATCTCCCTAATAGGAGCAATATGAGCTTGTTCATAGAGCTATAGCCCAACTGTTTGAAAAACAGCTACAACTATATGAAATTCATGGAGCCCAGAAAATTGCAGATGGAGTGGTAGGTGTACTTGGTCTATTAATTTTTACCATAATAGTTGGCTTTTAATTGTCATCTTTTGTTTTATCTAAGATGAGAATATCCTTCACGTTATTATTTTTACTTAAACTGGCTTTTGTTAACTCCTTTTCTGCTTCCTGTTTGTACCTCTCTCTATTATGATGGATATTTAATGACTCCAATAATATTCTAAAATGACTCCAATAAATAATATTCTAAAAAAATATATTAAGTAGATCTTGTATCAGAAATCATATAATCTATTATTCTTTCAAGTATTATAAATTATTTTTTAAAAAATAACTGCATTATTCTCTCTCCTTTTCCCTTCCACTCCTGCCTAAGTTGATTCTATATGATTTTTATTTTGTTCTTGGTCATGAGGATCTAAAGTTTTATAGTTGTTTGTGTACATGCTCTTTAAGCAGGATTATAGGGCCAAAATTAAGTTCCTTTTTGTCATGTTGTAATTCAATGTCACTTTAGCTTTCTGGCTAAAAGATCTTATTGGATATTCAAATTTTTGACCTGACAAAAATACTGTATTCTCCTGATGGCCTTATTTATTTCTGCCTCTCTTTTCTAACCAGTTATCTTATTTATTCTTTCTGTATAATCACCTTGTCCCCGAAGGTGCTGGTGGAAGTTCTTTATATCTTTATCATTGAGCCTAAGATAGCAATCACACGATAAACCAATTTACTTACAATAACTGAAGTAAAATGAGGAAATGAGTTGTAAAATTTATAACCTTTGTTTTCCGTTTAGACAGTTTTGTCAATTTCCCAGAATATTTGTTTGAAATTTCTTGCTTTTGCAAATGAGAGATTTGTTACCAAATTCTGATCTTAGGGTATTAAGAAATCTCTTATAGGTCAGTGAAATTATAGGGACTGTGTATATTCTTTTTTAGCCAAGTGAAAATTTCAAGTTTGTTTTTTTGAAAGAAAAAAAATCTTTATTTCATTGTTAAGAAACTACAATTTCTTACTAATGGGATGTGTAAAGCCTGATGGGCACTGCACAACTTCTACAACCTTGGAATCAGATCAGACATTGCCACCTTCAATTCCTATTCCATATTGATTTTCGCATACAATTTCAAGTTTTTGAAACATAGCACAAATAGGCCTCATACATTGCTACCTTTTTTTCCCCTTTAATTAAATCCTATTATGACTTGTGTTGAATCTAGCTTAATGTTTTATAATATAGAACAAAATGTTTATTATATTATTTTGTACAATTTTACCTGAAATGAAACTTGTTTAATGTTTCAAAAAGCT